TATTAATTTATAATAATTATAGACATTTATAAATTTTGTTAGGTTATTCCAAACACACCATCAACCAGTACAAATTTGTATTAATTACTTAAATCATAGTAATATGCTGTTAATGGAGGGGGGGGAATTAGATGTATTTATTTTCCTCTAAAAATAAAAAATATATCTATGCTACGATAAAGTTGAATAAACTTGGAACCCTCATAAGTGGCTCAAACAAAATTTATGTATTAAGACTTGTCTCTTGTATATGATAATATACATATTATATATGATAATTATTATTAGGGGCGTATTCACATATTTTCCGCCTTTAGGCATTTAAAAATATGCTGTCCTTCATTACGTTATGACGGATGGGGCTCATTTTTATATATTTTTACTATAACACTAGTAATTCTTCCTCAAAAAAAAAAAAGTATCTAAAAATATTTTTCAAACAAATCTAAGTTTATTAATAAATCATAAAATAAACTGCTTATAGCTATTAATATAAATATAATAAATACACAATAAATGAAAATTATTAGGAAGTCAATATGTCATAACAACAATAAAAAAATAACTTGTTTTTTATAAATATGATGGCCTTCAATATTTAAATATGCCATTGTAGGCAGTTGCCTATATTGCCTGCATATAAATATGCCGTTGATTATTATCATAATCACCAAAAGGCAAACCTCATAAACATAAAATAAATGTTGAAAAAAAACTAAATTTTTTAAAATGAAAATTTTGTAACATATAAAATGCAAACAAAAATACGTGTTTAAGGCTTTTCCCATTAGTAAATACGATTTTCAAAGTAAAAAAAAATTGCATACAATTTCTAACTTTTATTTTGCCAAAAAAATTTAAATTTTGAGCTTCATTAAAGACAAAAAAAAAAATGTATCACCTAAAAGACACTGACCAATCATTAAAAATAATAATTAAATTTTTTTTTCAATATTTTCGTTTAATTGGAGACTAATCCATTAATTATATTTTTTTGTAATCAATACTTTGTTTAGATTTTAGAAACTAAAACACTTGAACTAAACACCAAAAATAAATAAAGTTAGATATGCTATTTATGATATTTGTCTAAAAAAGTAATAGTTTAAATCATAATTAATTTTTAGGGTATTGTTGGTCAATTTGCTTTAAGCACATCAAGCAACAATTAAATTTTTTTTTATCTTGAATTTTTATAGAAAGTCTATTTTTAATAATACTATTATTTTAGAGATACTTATTTTGCAATTCCCTACTATATATCTACAGATTTTTATTACTTACGTGTCTATGCCCGGTCTAATGACACATTTATACAAGCCCCATACTGGTTTATGGTCAGATGTGCAAACTGATGGTACTGAACAATAAGTTATGCATTCAATATGAGATGATTTGCAATGTAATCCTATAAAATTATTAAATATTATCATAGTAGTGTTTGGATAAATAAAACATGAAACTAATTTACTTAATCGCCATTATAGAGACAGATTAATTAATAATATCCAATACCATAGAGATTTTATGGACAGATGACTCATTCTACACCAACACTATTAACACTTAAAAACTACACTACTGTCTAATCGGCACAAACGTCCCTATAACCTAAAGATAAGCATACAGCGTTAGGGTCTAAACAGGACCAACTACAGGTTTATTTAAATTAATTTAATACACGTCAAAGTCAGTCGTATTACCCTCAAAAACTGAAAAAATATCGGTCATTCCTCGTAAATGGGAGAAATCTCCAAAAAAATTATGAATTTAAAAATCGCCAATTTTCGAAATTTTTTCAATTTTTAGCTTCGATGCGAAGCTGAGAAAGTATTGATTTTACTATGATTTGTTTTTTTTTTT